GCATACAGCAAGGCGAAGGCTGGTGACGCAGTGGGATTACTCGGCAAATTGCGGCCAACTGAAGCGGTTCTGATTATGCCGGCCCATGCAGACCAATCAGAGACCACATCTACCGTTTCAATTGACCAGCTGGAGTTTGGGGACCTGGTTCGAGTGACCAATGGCGCCTCCCCGCCCTACGATGGAACTATCATTACTGGAACCTCCCGTTTTGATGAATCAAGTTTGACCGGCGAATCCCTTCCGGTGGAGAAGTCGGTTGGCGATGAAGTGTTCTCTGGAACTATTAATCAAGCCAATCCTGTCACGATCAAGATCACTCGTCTCTCCGGTGACTCGATACTCGACCAAGTTATCGGTGCCGTGCGAGAGGGCCAGATTCGAAGAGCCCCCATCGAGCGGACAGCGGACCTTCTCACAAGCTATTTCGTTCCCGTCGTGACTTTGATAGCTGTCGCCGATTGGTTGATCTGGTTGGCCCTTGGCCTTTCAGGCCGACTGCCAGAAGCGTGGCAAGATGGCCCTGGAGGATGGGAGTTCTGGTCGTTGCAGTTCGCCATCTCTATCTTTGTCGTTGCCTGCCCCTGTGGAATTGGACTCGCTGCCCCGACAGCTCTGTTCGTGGGTGGTGGATTGGCCGCTCAGCATGGTATACTTGTCAAGGGAGGTGGTGAAGCATTCCAGGAGGCCAGTCAGCTCGATTGCATTGCCTTTGACAAGACTGGCACGATCACTGAGGGCGGAGAACCATCGATTACTAACCATGAGGTTGCTCACGAGGGCAACAACATCGCTGACATCTGGGGCGCGGTTTTGGAGCTTGAACAGAGCAGCAGTCATCCTATCGCCAAGGCTATGGTCGCTTTCGCCGCTACCCAGAAGCCTTCAGCTCTGAAGACCGTCTCGGCAAACGAAATCTCAGGCAAGGGTCTTAAGGGTGTTTTCACACTTCGCGACCAAGACACCAAGACAGGTCTCGATGTGATCATTGGTAATGAGGCGCTGGTGCAGGATTACAACATCGTCCTCTCCTCAGTCAACCTGGACACACTCATGACATGGAAGCAGGAGGCTAAATCCGTCGTTTTAGTTGGCACCCGTGCTCAGGCTGCCGATGCTTCCGTCCCCTGGAAATTGTCTATCATGCTGGCTGTCGCCGATCCGGTCCGACCAGAGGCCAAGGGTGTTCTCCACGCCCTTCGTGACCGTGGAATCGATGTCTGGATGATCTCCGGAGACAATCCAACGACTGCCAACGCCGTTGGCAAGATCGTCGGAATCCCGCCTGATAACATCATCGCAGGCGTCCTGCCAGAGCAAAAGGCAGAGAAAGTGCGCTACCTGCAACGCGTCCTGCAAAAGCCGGGCCGTTCTGGTTGGTTCGGCAGCCAGTCAGTCCCCAACAGGAAGCGGGCGATCGTGGCCATGGTTGGCGATGGTATCAATGATTCTCCCGCACTGACAGCTGCCGACGTTGGCATTGCCATTGGATCCGGCTCAGACATTGCTATCTCCGCGGCTGAATTCGTGCTTGTCTCTTCCGGTCTGACATCGCTTCTGACCCTCATCGACCTGAGTCGCATGGTGTTCCGCCGGATCAAGTTCAATTTTTTCTGGGCTTTAATTTACAACTGCATTGCCGTGCCTGTGGCTGCCGGTGTCTTCTATCCCATCGTGAGTAACGGAAAGCATGTTCGTTTGGACCCGGTGTGGGCGAGTCTTGCCATGGCTTTGAGCAGTGTCAGTGTCATCTGCAGTAGTCTGCTTATGAGGACTCGGTTGCCTTTGGTCGGCTTCCGGAGCAAGAAATCGAACAAGCAGTAAATGGTGGGAACGGGGTTTTTGTAAAGTTTCGGTGACCAAGTCGTCCTATGTTGTTATATAAAACATATTAATAGTCGGAGCGTTTAATGTATTGCATTGCCAGGCTACTTAAGGAAGCTACTCCAGTGATAGAGCCCCTGCTGTCCAGTCACTTACGAGATCTAGTTGGTAGCAGGAAATGAAGGATGCGGTTGCCTATTCTAATTGAGGCCTGTTAAAACTCATGCCTTCGTTTTTGAAACCATTGTTTGTACTTTGTGGCTGGCTCCTAGAATTTGTGAAGTTTTAAACACTAACCAAGATGCAGAGCAAATGATACTCTCGCAAGTGAAACAAAATGCGCTAAGGGCCGGGGCCGCATCTATTGCTGGGCAAGCGTTTTATTTCCTGGATCTGCCACTTGGCTAAACCATGTACATAATCCACCTCTGAGTAAGAAATGAAAAGGTGGCGCTGAAGGCGGCCAGTCTGCGGTATAGTAAATAAACAGGGAGTTCGGAATGGTCGGATTGCGTCTAGCCCAGCTGCGCCTACGAGGCGCTCTAGGGCCTGCTTGGTGGTCTCCGCTTCGAAGCTCCTAGGGTCGCAGGTGCTATATCAAATCACTATCCTAATAATGTGAACAAGTATGAAGATTCCCTCTTAGCTTGAATGTATCTAGTGTTAGTATTTTGTGCTTCGCCGTGCTCCGTAGTTCGCTACGTATAGGACCTGCAGGGTTTTACCTTGGTGGTTCGCCCCGCTCGCCCTCTAATTGGTACCCATACAGACAGGCGCGACCCATCACTGCCTCCAGAAGTCGGTCATGAATAGAAACATGCGGAACCGAAATGCATTTCCGATATCTCGGGGGCTGTCATTGCGTCATGATTCAGCCGCGCGAAAATCCACAGTAAAATAGACGACTGGCGGAGTCTTGTTTGTGCTTCCAGGAGCACTGGGGCCTTCGGCCTCGTCCAAGATAGCTTGGTAGTATTGTGCTGATACGTTCGCTGATTATTCTCAGATAACCACCTTTGGCGATGTACGGGTGGTGGTCGGTGTCAGAAAGTTGATGTCAACGTTTACATCAACGTTGAACATAAAAATCACTGAACACCAACAGCATGTGTGTTTTGCGCCCGTAGAAAATATCTACTTGAGCTATGTTAGTTACCTTCTCACTAGCGTGATTTGGCTAAATTTCACAGTTCAAAATCGATTCTTCATCGGCTGCGTTGGTTCAACGGACAGTAAGGGTTGCCTTATGGTTGGAAGCAGATCTTAAGCTAGCTGGCAAAAAAACACAGTAAGCTCAACAGAAACGACAGAAAATAGGGGATTTGTCTTCCAGTGGGAGTGTTCGGTAGCTTGTCAATCAACAGCAAAGAATGTGTTCCTCGAGTATCGGATACTTTCATAGGATCACTATCTGGCTTGAAATATGTTATGCACAATCTATCGCCCGTCCTGGAGATGATGATAATATACTGGCCCCGTTTCACAGGACAGTAAATCCTAGGAATACACAAATGATTCCTAGAGCTGCTTTACTACCAAGTATCGGAGACGGTTTCCGTGGCCGTCGATCTCAAGGATAGAAATAGTGCTTCTACTTGAAACATTCTTACCGAGAAAGCGCCTATAAGGATTGCCGCTGAGGCAACAAAACATGAAAAAGGCACCTGGAACGGCTCACTATCAGCTTGGCCATTCTTTGTTAAGGCAGCATTTGTGTGAAGAGCGCATAGCACATATAAATTTACCGTGCTCGGAGATTGACCTGCTTCACCATTCTGCTGCTATTCTTTACTTTATTCTACTGTGTTCCCTTGGCCGAGACCTGCCTCACCATCTTACATTCGGTAATTCACTTTTTGCGGATACAAAATGCATTGGTTACTGTCGCGGCCATGATTCGGATGCGTCTTGTCATTAGTTCCCTTACCAGCACCTGGCTAGCCCTTGCCAGTCTCAGTTCTGCCACTGTACACTTTACGGTCGCCCTACGAGACCGTGCAAAATCCGACCTCGTGACGCCGAGCGACTCTATTTTGGACCTCACGTTTCAAAACCTCATGGACAACGTCGTCGACGGCATGGTGATTGCGGCCCTGGTTTCAGCCCTGTTTTCCATCTTCGGGTTAATCCTCGTGGTCTACCCGAAGTGGCTACAAGAGACCTGCACCGCTCGGTTTGCTACGGTTGCATTCAAATCGTCGTGAGCATGATCGTGCTCTCCTTAGGGGGTTGGATTGCCAGCCGCGCCCACGGCTTTCAGACATTATTCGAGCTGTTTGACAGCAAGGGCCACATTCCATTTTACAAGATTATGTATTATGGAGCCGTTGGCCAGGCCGCTTTCGGGTCTTTAGTTGTCATCATGCCTTCCGTCCGTTTAGTCGTGCGTGACTTACGTGGTCACTAGCAGAGTACGCGCACCGAGCTACAAAACAGTCAAAGTAGTGGTTCAACGTGGTTCCAGAGTGGGGCTGTGAAGTAACAAGACAGGGAGGATTTCGAATAAAAAGAATCGCAGAATTTCGTCATGATTTTTGGAAGAGTGAGGGATGGAAGGGGAATTCAGAGCCATTAGAGAGATGCGAATGATAGGTTCATGCAACGTAATGCACTTATTACACTGTAGACTCGCTAGGCATCTCTCGATTTGACTATCCAATTTATCATGGTCCATCTAGAGCAGTATTCCCACGTTGATGTTTATCCTTGTGTGGCTCAATACAATTATCGGTAATGATTGACGGTCTGCTCTGTGTAAATAGCCATCAACCTTGGCTTTTGGAAAGACTTCAAAAGCTGACACTGGAAACATGCGAGTCGCCAAGGAGCCACATAGCCTTTGGAAATCATACGTAGCTTGTAAGACTACTACCCATATTCACTATCAGGAGACCAGTCACGTTCCTGTAGACGGCTCTATCAGTGCAAGGAATGTACACCTTAGCCCTAAGAGCTCATTTATTCCCGGAAGGTTTGATATGGTTTCTGGGAGTACAGAAGCCGCTTTCAGGAGCCATATAACCCCCATGAGACCTCGGGGAGTTCTGAAATAGCTCGGAGCCAATTCAAGTGGCGGTATCAAAAGGCTCTCCCGGAGGAAGCCGCCGCTGCGCTTCCTGGAACTCAATTGACTGTAAATCTTACCGATTCCACCACCCACTTGTTCTTCCAAGATCATGATGGTAATATCACTGAATACCTTGGCGGTTATGATACCTGGAATAGTACGTGTGGCTGTTAAACCATTTCGCTGGACCTTGGACTATTTCTAACATCATACACAGCGAAGAAGGTAATCCTTGTCAAGGAGAAGGTTGAAATTAATACTCCTCTCACCGCCGCCAATTCTCGCATCGCGAAAAAGCCCTATGTCTTTTATGCGACTAAAAGTGCTCTTTTCAAGGTGATGACTTACAACAACAGCAAATCATCTGAGGTTGTGGCTTATGTCCCCGGCACCAAGTTGGGCGCTATCGGTTTCGGTGGGAAGGTCCACCTCTTCCAGAAACCCCCTCGAGCACCCGACAATTATTTGAACTAGAGTTTATGACGGCAGCGCTTGGAAGTTAGGCTTTAAGGTCATTTCGTAGATGACTAGTCCTTTGTAATAGATATCATGGTCAATGACTATATGGGTCATTGTTATTGAGTTTTGCCCTTCAAGGTCTCGTGTCCAACTATATCGTTTTATTGTGGAGTTCTTACCATTATGCAGTGTGCTTCCTTCATTTATTTTTATTTTCTTGGAGTTCAATCCGCCCACAGGATGTATCAACAGCCGTGAAACGTTGACACCCCGTCACCAAACCCAACGAAACTTCACCAGCGGCCGCATGTGCCTCATCTAAAATCAGCGCTGATCTTTGTGATCGCACACAAATAGATAGCACAACTACCCAAATGGTTCTTGCTCACGAACACTCAACAACGCTGATCCCTCATCAAGGCCCATCAACATGGTAGGCTTGAGAATCGCTCGCTTGCAAGGCTGAGACTACACCATTACAAAGTGCTTGAACTGCTCGCTTTCGATCCCACAACATCAATGCTTGCTCATCGCAAATCTGCAGAAGGATGTCGCTGTCGCTTGCTAGCCACTCATTTAACTCTTGAAGCTGTCGCTGCTCATCCTCAAGTCGTATCTTCTCGGCAGACTTGAGGACGTAGCATTTCCACAGGCAAAAGTACAAGTCGAGCAGTTTGAGGGCTGGTGTAGGCAGGGCGTCGTTGTGGTATAGTAGCTTCATGAACTCCGCCGTAAGGGAACCGGGTTTGCTCACTGGAACATATGCAGCCTTAGTAATCTTGTTCGTTTGCTATCGAAGAGGGTATGACCGACCTCGGGTTCGATGACTGCGCCGTTTGAAGATTGCTGTGGGTGGCTTTGCAACTTGGGCTCATCTTCTGGGTCGTGGGAAACCCGGCACTGTCTCTTAGCTGGCCGGTCACATAGGCAAGGCGAAGTGGGATGGTCCATCGTGGCCTTTGGGGAATGAAATGCAAGAGAAAAATCAGGGACAGCAAATACTCAAGTTTTCCGTAAGACTTCGTATACCTGCGTTTCACGAAAGACTATTTTTTATGAGCTAGATGTGGTTGCCTTTCCGATAACACACTCATATGCTACAGAGGTTTAAACGAAGCACCATACAACCTGCAATTCCCAGGTGGTGTAAATCAGTCCGTACTTTCCTCCGACTGTGCTTTTACTGAAAATAGCAACTTCCTCGAGGCGGCGGCATGTAAATGCGGTCATCTCTACCCCGACGATGAAACTGCTCATCAGCGCAAGACTCGTCCAGAATTTCCCCGATCTGCAGCCTCAGCGAACAGCATTGTGTGCGACATTGCGCATTGCGGGGTTGGGGCTGATTGCCCTGATTATTTCCTGCCTCTCGTTGACGAGCCGCTCACTGAGCTGGTCTGCATTCTACATTCAGTCAGCTAGCAACGTTACTGTCACGCTTGCTTCTTCCCTAGCCTGGTCGGTGGCTGCCGCATCTATGATCGGCCAGGTGCAAAAATCTGCAGTGCAGTCATACGATCATCGGCATGGTCAAAGCCTAGATTCCATTCCCACACAGGACGACCGCGACTCTTCCAATCAGAGTTGCTGATCACAAAGCCACGGCCACACCACATATGATACTTCGAAGGAGGAAACTAAGGGCCTTTTCATGCTATTCAATATGCACTTTGGAATGTGGGGTCCTGACACCAAGCCCTGGACCCGTCATGCAAATCAAAAGGCATCATTAGGCTGCGGTAGCTACGATGTAACACGGCCTTCGGCCCAGTCCGTTTTCAATGCTGTAAACAGAACCTCGTCAACATGTCGCTCAATTTTGCACACAACGGCGCCTTTTGGGTCTGCAGCAAGGTGGTGTAATAGATCCTCTCTGCCCTAATACCGAACTGCATATCTCTGGCAGACATAGCAATCGACATCCGGTCGATGCGGGGATGTTCGTGCAGATGCTTAAAGAGCAGCTTGACAAGGATCTAGACCATAATTTCACTCTGATGGGATTTCGTGGGTCTTTCAGTGCGCCGTTCAAAGTCACTAGTGTCACGACGGGTATACTATTGTCGGTAAAGCCACTACCTCACAACGCTGGAAGGAGGTGTCGCGAGAAGCGGATGTTTACCGTATCCTTCACCGCGCACAAGGATCGGCGATTCCAGTTTTCCTGGGAGTGATTGACCTGGCCGGCGTCTACTTCCTACATGGCGCTGGAGATATACGCCACATGCTCCTTATGGGTTGGGGTGGTGAAGATTTGAGCCATCTCAAGCCCGAGAAGTCGCTCCGTCCTGCGATTGAACGGTCGTTGAAGGAGATAAATTCTTTAGGTGTCCTCCACCAGGATCTTCGACAAGAGAATATTCTATGGAATGCTGAACTAAATCGGGCCCTAATCATTGACTTCCATCGATGCAGCTTGGTTCACCGACCGATGGCAGGCTCTCTCAAACGAATACGATGTGCTCCTAAAGAACGGAAGTCAAAAAGAGTGCGTGTGGTCTGAGCGAAGCTCCTGGAAAAGTCAAGCAGAGAATCAAATCTTACTGTTCGTCCCCACAGGGAATTTCAGGAGCTTGGATCAAAACTCTCTAAGGCATTATTAGTTAAGTTTCATCCAGGGAACCTATTCATCGCCACTCCTTGATCCTCCCACCGAGATCATTATCGAGATTTTATGTGTCAAAGCATAAGCTACTCTTGCTGGCAGCCAAAAGTGTGAAACATTGCCCAGGCCCGGATCAAATTATCAACTTTCTGTTGAAAGGAAACCCAAGAGCACTATGCGAGGTCGATTTTCACGGGAAAATCGTATTCTTCAGAAAAATAACCTCTCGGAAAGATGAGCTCTGCATCGACTGCTTCTTAACTGTGGTGCCAATCCACTCCAGAAGAATCTGAGCGGTGATACACCATTGGGTGAGGCGGCCCTCCCTTCCACTCCCTTGCTCCCGCGTCGCGAAGTACGTTCTCGGATGGTACATACGAAGGCTGTTGGCTCGACTTTGCTTCCGTTTGCCTTGTTGCCCTCCACGTCTCGCCTAGTTTGCTCTGTTTGCTCGACTTCGCTTCCATCCGCTTCCATCCGCTTCCATATTCTCCTCATACTTCGCCCCTAATTCTCTTGAAGTTATCCGTAATGGAGTTGGATAGGTAAGGGCCTAAAACCATCAGCATATCCAGGAGGTTCCAGGGATAATTAATACCCCACCCACCAAGTCATCTCGGGAAGGAAACCATCGGTCATTTGAGTTAAATATGTAGGTTTGTCCATTTTTTCTCAGCCGAAATACCAACATAACATCTGCGTCGCATTCTTGGCTAAATTCGAAGGCTTTCCGGAACAAAGTATTCCCTCGTCGTCGACGTTGTTGACTTTTGGCCTTCGATTTATTAGATTTGCGGCGGCGGATTATCTTTGGTTTTGCCATAACGGGTGTTTTGTACACTTTTGTAATTAGAAAAGAGGCTATGTCTAGTCCAAAGTCTAGGAACCTTCTTGGCTTTATGTATTCTCTGCGCTCACCCTGAGGGGGTGAATGGTTCACCTTCTGAGGGTGAGTATCGCGCGATTGAAATTAGAAAGCCAGAAGCGGAACAGTATTTTAGAGCTCCCGAGAGTAAGGTAAACTTGTTTTGAGTAAGTGCACCTGCCAAGCTTTTTGTCGGGTAATATATTTGGTTGAGCAGGGTGAGCGCGTTGATCTGTGGGCGATCAACGGCTGATCGCCAGGGTGATTCACTCACCCCTCTAAAAAGCCCTTGGAGTTGAAATATCGTCTTTGAACGGGTAAACATCGGCCATTATTGCCCCACCATCAATTACCTCTCATCAGAATATTGCTGCCTAACATTAGCCTTCACTATCCACTCTACAGTACCCAGCGTGTTGCTAGGCGAGTCGGTTTGGAAGTTTTGAGAGCGTTCTGGCAGCAATGGAGGGAGGTGAGAAAGTCGAACAGTGATGCGCTAAGCCACATCTGCCTGCCTCAGAGTCGGTTCAGGAGCGCTGAGATAGATTGGTCGGAATAATTCTTTGTGCTAGCAAAATTTATCGGGAGGAGTCTACAGTTTGCTGAAGCTTGTGATATCTGAAACACGAGCGCTGTTTTGCTAAAAGTTTAAAGTGATTCTGATTGGTTTAAACTGATTCCCCACTTCAGGGCATCAGCGGACCGAAGTCGGGACTGAGCAAAGCCGAAACAGATTCCGCGTCACCTTCATGTAGCTGTCCAAGCCTATGTAGAAACGGCAAAGGCCTTCATGATTTGAGCTCAGGCACTCCCTGACTATGTCTTGCATCCTCCATCCCCAGTAGACGCGGGTTCGCCTGCGGGGTCTAAGGATGAACACTTTCCAAGCTGGGGGATGATATCCTCCAGTACCTCCTGGATGGGAGAGGGGTAGCATGCTGCCTAATGAAGTCAGCTTGATAAAATGAAATACCCAATGGACCATACCAAGTTTGACAATGTACTTAGCATTCGTGCATCCGAGGATGACTCAAAAATATATAGCTGACCAGATTGCTGGACTCGAATAGCCACAATGACATCAGATTCGCATTCCAAACTAAACTCTACCGCTTTCTTAAATAAACATTTCCTCCGTCTAAGTCTCTGTTGGGCTTTTGCTCGAGCGCTCTCGGACTGACGCTTTTTTACCCAAGAAGATTTCTTAGACATCGCTTCCCTTGTTAGATGAATACCCAAAGTCTTAACATGGGTGACATTGGCGTCTTTTAAATCTTTGTCCTCGGGCTTTAAGGACCACTGCGGAAGCACTGAGGTTTCTGGTGTTTTCGGCCCGCAGCCGCACCGCAGTCGCACCACAGCAGGGCCATCTTGTAGCTACTCGTACTATAAAAACCCCACGGCTCTTCACGCTGGTGTCTGCCGTCTATTCTTCCCTTGCTTTACTTGGCCGCCTGTCCTTAAGTCGAACAAAGTATGGATGCGATAGCGATTTATGCGATCACCGCTGGCGGGATTTTTGCTACACTTTTCTTAACGCGGACTCTTTGTTAACTCGCCAAGTGGTCAAAGTTTTTCTCTATTCTAGTTTCTCGACATCTAACACTCCCTTTTATGGTTGATAGACACCAGCTCTGGGGTCCATGGACCCTAATTAGTGCCCTTCTTCACGTATCTTATGCTACTATCAACCTTTTTCTGATCCTTTTCAGGATGAAATCCTGGTCTGGTGCTGGCCGCCAGGCAGGAGAGCTGACCCTAGTCAACCTGATTTTCCTTTTATCAGCCACCCATCTGAGCTATCTGGCTGACCTTGTAAGCATTACATGTCGCACTTGTCGCCGGATTCATCGTGCCGTTGGCTGGATGACTGTTGCCCTAGTATCATTTCACATTGTTGTGGAGGTGCAGAACAGGCAGTTTAGCTTCCCACTCCACTCGATGCAAAACCTCTTTACCCTCATTGTATGTAATATTCACGACACCAAGTGCTCAACTAACAGGATACAGGGTGCCTGTTCACTGGGTGTCCTTTCCCTGCTCTCTATTCCATGGTTTCGGCATTTCTCGTACGAGATCTTTCTTCGAGGACATCAAATCCTCACAGCGCTCTTTGTTTATGGAATCTGGCGACATCTTCCAGCCCGGAACCAGCCCTCAAAAATATGCCTCCTGGTAGCGCTGGGGATCTTCGGACTGACCTTATTTGTACAGACAATGACCCTCTTCTATCGAAACGGGCTGTTCGCCGGCCATGGGTTCCTAGGGCTGTTGTTTCCTTTAGTGCTAAGAAAACTAAGGAAGAGCATCCTGTTATAACAGCTGCCCATATCCGTATTCTTCTGCCTCGGCCTTTGAAAGTGGAAGCTGGCCAGTACATTAACCTCTTAATGCCATCAATCAGTCTATCATCATGGATGCAGACACATCCCTTTACAGTGGTATCATGGTCAAGAGATAGGCAGGATACCATAGAGCTCCTCCTCCAACCACGCGATGGCTTGTCTGCCGACCTTGTTGGCTACGCGCCCGCTGCGAAAGAAAGCTCGATTTCTTTCCTAGCCTTGTTCACCGGCCCTCATGGAATGGTCGAAGATGTCAGTCATTATGGAAGCGTCTTGGTCGTCACTAGTGGATTTGGGATCGCAGCAGCAATTCCATACCTTAAGAAAATGATCTATGGTTATGATACCTGCACCTCCCAGGTTCGCCGACTCCATTTGATGTGGGAGGTAAAGTCCGTTGTCGAGATGGCCGTGGCCCAGACCCTGCTGAATAACCTCCTGGAAGACGACATCATGGATAATGGCTATGTTCGTACCAAGTTTCATGTCCGGGCACTCCACCTGATGCTGACCACAATCATGGTTCTAAATTCTCCAGATCCCGATCTACGTCAGGGACGGCCTTGGACCAAACCGACTTCCTTTCGGTGAGCATGATCGGGTCTGTCTTTACCAGGGACTGCCCGATTATCAAAATATTGTATCCCTTGAGGCGTCTGGCGACCAGATTGAAAGGTTGCCTAATGTCCGGGACAAGCAAGGCAGGACGTTGGTGATGGGTAAGTCATCTAAATGCCCTCATGAGCTACGCACTGAAAATATCTGTCTAGTCTCCGCAGCCGACGGAGTGCGAGATCACATACGGAAGACAGTACGAGGACATCTTCATCAGGGCGTGAAACTCTTTGAACTCGAGTACCAGCCGTGCGCTGTCTGAGAGAATTGTCGGACATGGGAGGGCTGCTGGGTTGGGACTGGAATCATTCACGAAGGTAAGTCTTCCGATCCTGGAATGATATGTGTTGGGAGCTGTGGGTGACCGTGGGTGGTGTAGGGGGGAATCGCTGAATGGGATGCCATTGGAATGAGCGCAGTCATTCGGCTGAGTAGCTTACTAGTCACTAGTTTATTTAACGTTACATTATTACTTGTTTCCAGTTTCCTTGCCTGTTGGCTGTCTGTTATGTTGGCGTGATATAAACTGTTATGTCTTTACATGAGGTCATATGTGCGGCGCGAGTTTGGTTCCTAAGTCTATGTTTGATATAAGCAAACCCACGCTGGTTAGATCTGTTCCGCTTTTATTAAAATTTATATTTCTAGGTCCTACAAGAACTATTTATCTAGGTAGCTTGTTCTTGTTTTGGCATAACATGTCATCCTTCTCACTCTAGTTTGAATGGTGGGACTATTCTTTTTTCTAGAGTTATACATTGTTTATACTGATCGGGGGCGTACTTCTACTAGAAGGGCTTTGAATTGAGGTATATTTTATATCTAAAACAAACGCCACTAGCGGTACCTTTTACAGGTGCCGTACCTTGGCAGAAGGTTGAAAGTCGGTAAGCGCGCAGACTTAAATAGACTGTTAAGACATTAAGGATCGCGCCACTAGTCTCAACAGAGATACTTGCGTATGTTGAGCTGAGATGTCGCTTCTAGCGGTACATTCATCTATGAGGTTGGTGCAGATGCTTTGTCATGAAAGAAGTAAGCTGTCACAGCGGGTGCCTCAGGCCACCGCGACAGGCTTCCGACCCGTGGCGTTCCTGCTCCTGCTGCTTGTCGCGATGGTAAGAGCCTGATGGCATGGCTAAATCCGGGCATGGAGCTGTTTTTTGGCTTCTAGCACCACTGCCGCGCGAAGATTACTCAGATTATATTGAAGTACTATAAGAATGGCCATTAGATATCCAAGGGCCGGCGTGAGACGCTCTTTGATAATATACTGTGAAGTAACCTCCTGGAGCAGGAGATGAGTAAAGCATGCCTCATGCAGGAAATGTAGGTTTTGGTCTCCGCGGGCGTAGAGATAATGGGGCGGGATCTCGTACGAGACGACCACGATCACCGCGGGAGTCGACCTCTTGCGTACAAAGACATATATCATGACTGATTAGGGGTGGGTTACATCGTACACGAGGCCTGCTCTTCCAACTGACGAACTGGGTAGGGGGTCTTCTTCGAAGGTCTGGATTGCGCTTGGTGGGGGGCTTGTTGGACTATTGCTGATCATTGGAGCGGTCTGGTTCTGGATGAGGAGGCGGAAAGCGAAGAAGGCGCAGAGTCGGGGTGAGCCGACAGGGGATATAGCGGATTTGGAAGGTGGATTTATGGTTGATGATATTAGTAAACTAGATGTGAAGAAGAGCGAGTTACCTGTGAGGGAGCATGCAACTATGGAGTTGTCGGCTGCAGAAAGGGCAGTTGTTAAGGGAAGAGCGCACAGAGCGGAAGAGAGAGATGGTATATGGACCCCCTCCATAGGACTGTTTGGACGGATATCGCAACGCTTGTAAGGATGATCGGCTGGTTAGATCAATGTTCCTACGGTAACGACTGTGTAAATAAAGCTATATGGAGATAGAAGCTACTCGTTCCGAAATTTCCCACAGGCCCATGTCTTCGACGGACAGAAAGCAAATGCTCGCCGCGCTCAGCCATCGTAACCGGCTTAGGAGGGGTCGTATTAATGTGAACCATCTGGATACTCTTAGGCTTGTGGAACCTCCAAACGATCAACATCCGGTCCCCAGCCACTGACCCCGGAGATCTTGACAACATTCTTTCCAGCCTGCAGCTCAACGTGCACCACGCTACGATCAGCCTGATTCCAAATGAGGGTGGTAGGCAGGAAAGCAATCGTCTGCGCCTGCCCATTCACCTCCACGGCTGCGTACCGATCCCCGCTCACATACCTCACAACAAGCGTAACAGGCCCTGCTTTCTCCGCGTTGACCTCAAAGGTAACAGCCCCATCGACACCATTGCTATCACCCCCAATCCACCCGGCCGCCTGACCCTCACTGCACTCCCAGCAACCGACAACCCCCGCACCGCCACTGAGGACTCCATCATTCTCGCCCTCGAATGCCGTGATAGCAGCACCGGGCTTCCACGTTCCCGCGGCGACATCCACGCTCCACGAATCGTGCCAGTTCAGAGTCACGGTTGTGCCGTCGATGATCAGCGGAAGCCAGACGTACGTGCTCGCGGCCAGGTTATGCTCTACCCATCTATCACCCATGTAGATTGCCCCGTTGGTGCCTAGCGGTAGGATATAGCTTGTCTGGCTTAGGTGTGTCTTTGAGCCGGCGGGGGCGAAACTGGCCCAGGATGACCACGGGCCTGAGAGTGAAGTTGCAGTGCTGTAGATCTATTCAAGGATTTGACGTATTAGAGTCTCGAGAGGTTAGAAATAGGGAAGGGGTTGGAATATTGGGTAGCATAGCATACATTATCATTCGGCGCCCACCCCGTCATCCACGATCCAAAAATATAATAAGTATCACTGCGCTTCACGAACGCCGGCGACTCAGCCCAGACGCCTTCGAAGCCAAATGTGATCTCTTTGATGCCCAGGTAGTCGTCCGTGAGCTTCATGATGCGCGTGCCGTATTCGCGCTGGGTGTTGTATTGTTAGTTTGGAACAGATTTGTAGTTTCCTCCACCATCTCTTTTTTTTTTATATATATATCTTTCTCTTTCGCTCCATCCTGAGAGGGAATTTGTAGGAAAGGAAGAAACAACTCACATCCTCAGTAAGTAAATACCCCGACCCATCGTCATCCTTAAAAAGCCCAATGTCGCGACTCTGCTTATCCAGCGGCCGGAAACTGCCCTGGTACGTGTACTCACCGCAGACAGTATCGCTCGTCGCGACGCCGGTCCGCGCGTCCGTGTAGTCAGGCGAGTCGACGTGCATCCACATGACGTACTTGCCCGTCTTGTCATTTCTAAGCACTTTGGGCCGCTCGATCAGCCGGTTTGGTCCGATGTCGGTTCCCGCGCCTGCTGCGCTGTCGTCGCGGCTAAGGAGGCGGCCTTCAAATTCCCAGTCGATCAGGTCTTTCGACGAGTAGCAGTTCACGGCTTGGAAGAGGTGGCCTTCAGTCTTTTCTTCGCCGATCATGTAGTAGATGCCGTTTTCTTCTCTGGTGCGGTTGTGTTAATAGAGAGTCATTGGGTTATAGGTCGGGTTCATCACCGGCCCGAAATACGAAACGAACTCACATGATGCCGGCGCCGTGGGCCTGGATATGTTTGCCTGTGTTGGCCTAAAGAACGATGAGTATGTAGGTCCTCGATCAAAACTAGGGCAGTTGTATATCGTACAGCGGTCCATGTCGCTCCAGGGACAAGTTCGAGAGCGGCTTGTGTGAAACTAGCGAGGAGCAGCCCCCCAAGAAGCCAGCGAGACGAGTACATCATGCTCATTGCGTGCATTGTTGGTATCTGTGTAAAAGTGGGAATGGATCCCGATTCTCTTTGGTCGCAGTTTATGAATTAAGCAGGCAGGGTCATTGCAATCCTTTTATAGTTCTCTGAACTCGGTCAGGCATACACGTGACATGCATGGACGATATGGCCTGTCCCCGTTAATGAAAGCTGACAGAGTCTGTGTGTGCCCGTGCGCTCGAACAAAAAAATGTGGCGTTGTTTTCAGCATGATTAAACCGAGACAAACCGGAGAATTTATCCTAGAGTGGTCGAGCTATTGGATCTTCTTCAGTGTGCCAAGGCCTCAAAGACCGCATTGACAAAAAGCGGACAGTGGCGCTTCGGGTGGGATTGACAGAAATCTGTCGGTACGACAACGTATGGTCAAAAACAGATATATTGGAATCTCTAACTAACTAAAAATGACAAAACCCGCGCTTTCAACAATCTGGGCGGACATAGATGACTAACTGTAATATGCACTTTTGTATGGTATGGGTGGTACCAGGTGTCACATGATATTCAGGGTAAAATACCCTGTTTCCACCATGTATTCAATCTTAGTATTCGACAGGGATTGCTAGATTGTGGATACGATACAAGGGCGCTTGGGGTCTAAAATATCTCCTGACTATTGGAGTCTGTTTATACGTGATAACCGTGGGGATATGAGTCCCTGTTCAGGACGTCGGCCAAGTTCGTCAGTATTATGTGGGCGGCTTGCTTCACCGTGGGGTAAGTGCTCCCTTGATAATTTAGGTACGCCAGTAGACACTGTATTCAATTCGTGACTGTTTGTATCGGCTTTCAGCCTTAGGGAAAGCTAGTCATCCTCTTTAGAAATTTTTATGCAGCTTTAATGGATTTCTAGCTAAGATTATGTTTCAGCTGATACATGGCTCTATGGGAATGCCAGGGTTTTGCGCGAAGATCTTGGGTCTCTTGCTCGCAATTCATGAATGATGGAGCCAGGGCCAGGGCAATCTTTTTATCCCTGCCCACCCTCAATCAGGGTTGTATAACATTGGTGTTTCAGAGCCCGTTCACACGAGAATTCACGGCCAGCCTGTGCTAGTGCGCTCGAACAAAAAGGAAACAGCACCCATTCAGCCATGATTGAGCGGAGGAAACACGGAGCATTTCCTTGGTGCTGTGGAGCCACGAACGAGGTTTATCCTGGCTTCGTCCCTGTTGCAATCCTTGCTGCAAGGAATCGAAGCCCGCGTTGACAAATCTGCAGGAACTACCCCGCAAACAAGCGGATAGTACCATGCTTCGGGGATACCGGACCTGCCGGATGCAAGTGTCAGTCTGCCAAGTAGCGGGGATTGGGAAAATGGAGAGAGCAATTGTCCTGAAGGAAATAATGATTAGCGCTGATGACCCTTTTTTTAGGCCAAAGTCTTTCGGGCCCCGGGACTTGTGGTATGATGCCGTTTGAGGGAGTTAATCTACCTAGCTATTGCCCAGACTCCGCCTCGGCTTTGTCTAGGTAGTAAGGTACTCTGGGACTCACATGAATAAGTAGTGATTAATGAAGCCGATTTTCACGTTATGACCGCGGGGGGTATGAGTCAAAATGGTATCGGGGTATTGGTGACTTGGCTGTGGGTACATATGCCCAATCAAAAAAAGTACTTATGACTTATTATTGTTATACAGGGCCATGATGCACATTTATTTTCTCTGCACCCCCAACCACCATATTAAACAAAAAGCAAAGACCCTAACGCCATCATAACATAAGGCACACGGACTATGATCGCTGTCTTGCTCAGACTGGCACTGTGCTGAGTCCGCAGTGGGCCCTATGTAATAATAGTGCCGTGATATCGGTCAGACATGACCGTGCCTCTTCGCATTCCTGTGGCTATGTTGGCCCCAATTGGCACGCTGCGGATGCGTGCGTGGAATTCGACCCTGCAGCTTCCTTGTGGATCGGTATCTGTGGCTCTCAATCATTCTAAGACACCACCGACAGTGCGGTCTGGTTTTATCGGCTTAAAGTACATTTATGACTGTATGTCCTGCAAGAATACAGGTGCGCTTCCATGCTGCTTGCTATAGCTGCTGGGATATTGAGAAGAAATTGGGCAATGCGATCTAACCTCTGTCTTTGCCGTGAACTTTCGCCTCCAGCAACTGTTTCTTCACAAGAAAATCACAGAAACAAAGAATATGCAGAGTATATTCGATGGTAAAGTCGAGGCCGCCTCCTACTGTAATAGGGGTTTGCAAGGGGTCACAAAGGGTCTCTGGAGGTGTGGCGAATGGTGGTCCAGCAAGAAGGCCGCCTCTACTAGCAGCAACCGTGCTGCGACTTTGTAAAGCCTTCAATGCACGGTCGCAATCCTTGATCGCGGCATGGATGTCTTTAATTTCCGAACCGTCGTGCGAGATAGCACCTGGAAGAAGCTTATGTTTGCGATTTCGAAAAGCCATGATCTTGGCAAAGATACCCATGACCGGTAGGAAATACTCGAAGAACCCCGTGCCAGGAACTTGAGTGGGAGGAGTGCAGGTCAAACTAGCCGCGCATAACTTGTAGTAAATTTCGCTACGCTTGACTTCATAGATCGCGAAAGACGGAGAACATTCAATTCATCGCCGATATATTGGTTGGCCGACTGAATAAACAAATTATCAACGCAATTTCCATTGCCTTGAAGGTTGGCAGTGCCACATCATGCAGTACTTCTGAACCTTTCGGTTATCCCCGCACCCGCAGCCCCGACAAGTCTCGTTCAGGTATAAACCTGCATGTTACCTAGAATTCTGATTGCTGTCTATTCTGAACGGTGATTAGTGTATCACATGTGGCTTGGCTAGGGTTCCGAAAGGAATAAAGGAATGCGAATATGAATAAATGAATTTTTTATTCGCGCGAATTGTTGAGGTAAGTGATTGTCTGATTGCTTTTTTTATTAACTTATTTACAGAAGAGGGGTGGCCCGTCTTTATATGTCCGACCCTAATCCACTCCATAAGCTTAGCCGCCGTGATATTCAACATTTCGGATCCCTAGGCTTGGCCTTTGCAGGCTATCGATCTTGGCCTGGGGCAAGTGGCATTCCAATAGCTAATCTGAGCGATCTGCACGATTAGACCATTGGTTCCTAGCGTCAGGTATGATTATGAAGCGAGTAAGGAGGTGTGGGCGTCAAGCAACAGCGGCGCTCATCTCCGCGAACTTTTCCCTGAACCGACGAAAGAGATATTTGCGATACATGATTCCCTGAGACGCGCGGCCAGCTCAGTGCTGGTACAGATGCAGACCGGTAAGATTGGTCTCCCCGCTTACCTCGCTACCCTCCCGCAGTGGAGGGAACAGGCCCTAGAAGATAACCCACTACACAATCCATCCCGTTGCACATGTGACCAAGGCACCATGAACACGCACCATATCCTCTTCTCCTGCCCCCGTTTCACTGAACTCCGTCACCGAATTCTTGGTCTTGACCGAGGAGGTGGGAGCGGAGGCGGCCACGACCCGTGGAAAGAATGGCTCTCAAAGCCATCGTTAGCAGTCAAAGCAGTCAACTTTATGATGCAAACTAAGCTCCTCGGCCAATTCAGGAGCCTACCGACCACCTACCGAGTCACCGACAAAGTAGACTCGTGACCCTGGGAACTTAGATCCTCTCGCTTGCCCCATTTTCGGGCCACCAGTACTACAGTGAGTACTCCCCTGCGTCACTGATCACCTTCGCGGCTTGCCGCGTGAGTTGCTGGACAGTTTGAGCCTCGGTTCCGTAGGTATGAAAGCGATCGACTAAAGACGGGGATGGCGGTTTTCGCCCTGTTTCCTTGGCTAGAAATGCCAACCTCTTCCCGGCTTTTTATGGGGCAATCAGCCCTGGTAGGTAAAAGGAGTGTGGGGAGAGCTTCGGAACAGTGGAGAAAATAGTCATCGTCATGTGATATAGTTGCCCCGGCTATCTTGTAGTGCCCTGCCGGCAAATCGGGCCTCACCGCCTGACAGATCCGCGAATGAAAATTACTTACTTACTTACTTACCCGCCCGAGCCGCAAACACGAAACCCCCTGCTATTACTCGCCGCGTAGCTTGAGCATGTAAAAACTACTCGACTGAATCAGGAAATGATGTTACCAGTCAACCAAGGGTTGTTCAATCGTGAGTCTCCCCGTCCCTGACAATCACCATTGAATTCCGATCTGATCCTTATTCAGCTGAGAGTCTTATATTGCCTAATCCCTATGTCAATTTTCCTCCACCGGGGCCGCCAACACAGGACTTCCAGCAATTCCGGAATTTTGACGCCGACTGCACTGGTATGGAAAGGCAAAATTATGAATGGATGTTAATGAACTAGTCCGATGCAGGGTAGGCCTTGATTGTACAGATATTATATCCCCAAGGCTCAAGCCAAAAAGGAACGAAAAAGAAAGAAAAAGACAAAAAGGAAACTTAAATTCTTTGTTTGACCAACTCAAGGGAATGCATATGAGTGGATCTTGTTATTTTTCAATAGGCATTCTGATGAATTATGTTAGCCCAGTCGCCGGAATTCCCCGCATAATATGAGCTTGACTGTTTAATGGACTCTAAGCCGCTTTCAGCTACGGAAGATAAGTAAGGCTTCATCGTATCAAGACCCTGTCAGATTCCGCTGGTTTTTCCCGGTTAATTGTTTGGTAGTTTTTCCAAATGGGAAATAATCTCAAAAGAGATGTCAAAATTCGGACCAAAGATATTACAAAGCAGTTACTGAACCAGGTGTTAAATTGGGGTTTTAGAAGATTCTAAAATGATTCTCGAGGGGTTTCTTGCTCAGAATCCGTCGCTGAAAAATGGAACCAGAGTAAATTTGAACTCTCTCTCTTCACAAGCGACGAGATACTTGTCCAGGGTAGTCGGCCCACAAGCACCAGTTCCCACTCCGCTGCATTCAGCATCGAGTCTCACATGAACTGTCTTTTCAGGAACAAGATCACATGGGTGTCTTGCTGATTCAATCTGTTTCGCGCTGTAGCGAGATGCGGCCCAGTGGAATTGGACTGTAGGGTCCTTGTCTGTATGCACGGAGTCTCTGAAAACCTTGATGCCCCAGCCACGATTATCGCTCAGCTGCAACCAACGGGTCTCGGATCGGTTTCCGCCCTCCTGAGGGACTTCATATGGTGTGTGAAGCTGTTCAGTGGTAGCTTTATAGATTCCGAGCTTTTGAGATCGTTTCTTGTCTGGGTATGACTCCCCTGGTCCTAGACCAAACCATTTGGCGTTGTCCAACTGGTCGGCGAGACGCAAGTCCAGGCCTAGTCGTGGAAGATCTTTGGGAAGAGACCCTCGAGGCTTCACCAATGAGGTCACAGAAAGCTTTCCATCTCCGGTAACAGTATAGTTTGTTGTCACTTGGAAGCCCCATGCAAGAACGGGTGGCCCCACCCAAGTTTCGGTCACTATTTGCGCGGAGTCACCCTCGACTTTAGAATTCTTGATGCTTCGAAGCTGGACTCTCATATCATCCAGTCCGTATCTCTTCCTTTCTTCTAGATCTGATGACATAGTGTCATTGTCGGTTGGAGGTCGCCAAAAGCCTGGTGCTAAGGCAGTGGCTGTTTTCAGATCAGGATCCAGAAGCTGATGCCCCCTAGAGGTCCAGCTTGTCAAGCCACCGGTGGAACGTGAAAAAGAAATTTCAAAGTCCGAGCCTGTCACGGTGTGGCTGGAACAGTTGGAACTGGTCTGCATAGGGAACCGAGGAGAAAGAGAAGGACCGATCGAAGAAGTTTTCAGAGGGTGTTGAAACCAAGCAACTTCATGACCACTCGGGGTCCAGGGGGTAGATTGGATGTTCTGGAAGCTGACAGTGAGCCAAATTTCACCTCCAGGAAGGCTGGGTAGATTTTGAGCAAACTCGATGCTTGCACTCTGCCCCGCCTTCACTGAAGGAACTTTGAGACTACCTGTGGACATGATGGTTGTCCTGTATTTTCATTAGCTTGATCTTAAAAGTAAAAATGAGGATCCTTACTCTTCACCGAATGATTCAATGCGGTATAAGGCCTGAAGATGCGCCAGTTCCGTGAAGTCGTATCTATTCTCAATGGAGATCGAACCGTTGGCGTAAAACGCGTGAACTGGAGAGTAGGCCTTTTGTAGCTCAACGAGGCCTGGAGTCGGAGTATGGTTGCTAAAGCAGAGCCCATCCATAACAAAAATACCGTCGTTGGGAAAATCGTCAAAGTCTCCACCATATCCGTAGAATCCCCGTTCTTCATCCCAGAGGCCGTGGTTTGCCCATTCCCAGATCCATCCGCCTTGCAGTCGTCGATGGGTTCGGAAAGCTTCCATATACTCTTCCAGGGCGCCTGGGGCATTTCCCATCGCATGGCCATACTCGCAGAGTACAATGGGCTTCTCAAAGTCATCACCCTCTGCCACCGCCAGTTTTTCAATTCGGTTGACAGATGGGTACATGTAAGAGAACATGTCGGCGGACTTTGCCTCGGGGTCCCCTTCGTAGTGGATGGGCCTGCTCGGGTCGACAGACTTGATATAATCATGCATAGCCTGGTGGTTCTGGCCGTAGAATGCCTCGTTTCCGAGAGACCAAATCACGATACAAGGATGATTTTTGTCACGCTGGACCATCTGAATTGCACGATCCAGATATGCGTCCTTCCATTCAGGATTGTTGCTAGTGTATTGAGCGGCTTGGTCGAAGGTCAGCTTCTTGCGCTCTTCGTAGTCCATTGATTCTGGAATATCGAGAGGTCGTGCGACCGCATCGTAAAATCCGTGACATTCCAAATCCGCTTCGTCCATCACCCATAAACCAAGCTCGTCACAAAGCTCGTATAGTCGGGGGTGCGATGGGTAATGACAACATCGCAGTGAATTGAGGTTATGACGCTTCATAATAAGGAGATCCTCGCGAAGGAACGACAGGGGAACAGCACGACCGAATTGGGGGTGGTGGTCATGGCGGTTGGCACCACGGAAGAGGATGGCCTTGCCATTGACGGTAATATTTCCTTTCTTTATTTCAACCTGGCGGAATCCAACACGATGGTGTATCTTTTGAAGATCTTTCTTATCCGATGAAGTCTGTAGACTTAGAGTGAGATCGTATAGATATGGTGTCTCTGCCGTCCAGTGTTCAGGGCGCTTCACAGGAATATCCAAGATCGCATCCCCACTCTCGACTTGCGACACACTCGCAGAGCCGATAACTCCCTCTGGTCCATTTCGGTCGGTCAGCGTAGCTTCCAAAACCACTGACTCGCTAGTTGTAAGGCGGACCGTGATTTTCAGGACACCGTCCTCGTAGGATTCATCGAATTCGGTTTTCGCGAAGAAGTCTTCAATTCGAGCTGCGGAGGGGAAGGCGAGTAGGTTAACATCGCGGAAAATTCCTGAAATATAGTTAGCTTGCACCAGTTTCCATGGGAATTTGTGAAGAAAAGATACCCGAAAGCCACCACTGGTCTTGATCCTCGATGTACGATCCATCTGACCACTGATAGACACGCACAACAAGATCATTTTTCGCCTTCCGATCAACGAACTGCGATATGTCAAATTCAGATGGATTGCGGCTCCCCTGTGCATATCCAACTTCATGTTCATTCACCCAGAGATGGTAGGCGCAGTCTACTCCGTCGAATCGGAGCCGCAGCTGCGCGGTTGAGTCCCAATCAGGTGGCACGTCGAACGACCTCCGATATGTACCTGTCGGGTTTTGGCTGGGGACATTAGGTGGGTCACAAGGAAATGGAAAGATGGTGTTTGTATAGTTGGGTTTTCCGTGGCCTTGTAGCTGCCAGTGACCAGGAACCGAAATGGTTGTCCATTGCACCGATTCAGACGATGCGTCGGTCTTCTTGTCATTGGAGACTTCCGGGGCCAGCAAGGGTGACAACGCGTAATTAAAGTCCCATTGGCCGTTCAGCGACAGTGATGATTCTGGAAGAAAGTATGCGCGAGGGGGGAGTTTGTTTCGCTGGAAGATGCGCGGGTTCTCCCAGTCGCAGGTGCTGCTATCGGCCTCGGACATGGTGCGATCGACTCAGCGAGCAAAAAAAAAAGCTGGAATCACAACTTCGTTTGTAAGATGAATTCCCGCAAATTATTTCCCTCTTCTTTTTATTTCGGCGGCACTCGGGCTCTTAAATGGTATCCGTCGAACTACCAAGACAAGGGCCCGCAGAGAGAAGGGTAAAAAAAAGAAAAAACCACAGATCATCACTCGTCACTCGTGCGGGGATCGTGGAACACGTTGTATTTACCCCTCTCTACTACTGGTCCGATGCATCGTGGACTGTCACGGCATATTGGGCTCATCGGGACGCGGTACTTGCATTTGGTGCTCATGCGATCTGTGCTTCGCGGATAATCGTCTGCTGCACATGTTGAGATAGCTGGTCTACCGAGGGCCTGTGATGGTGCCAGCCCCCAGACGGTAGTATCTAAAGCGATTCCAAGTGCACGAGTATTGCTGGGTCTACTCTGTATGTACGGGGGAATCCTAATCCATCCCTTGACCTGATCTGCGCTTTTCGGTCCCGACATCCCCGACGGACCTGTTACTGGACCCACTTCTGCTCCGCCAATTCGGTTGTATTCGCCTGTCCAGATGAGCGCTTCTCTAAAAAGCAGGAAAAGTCTTGATTGTATAGACCCATCCCTCAATCTCCAAGATGATTCTTTGTCTGCAGCTCGATCAGAGATGCAAGTAAACTGATATTAGCAGCTTAGCAAGGTATCAGTAGCGCCCTTTCTGCGCAAAAAGCCCTGGAGCTCATTGCTCTGTAGACCCTCCCAAATATATCTTTGTATCACAACCCCGAAAACTCCAAGTGCCAGTACCTACTAGATATTTAGTAGTCCCTTGAAGTAATTCAAATACGATATTCCCAAAATTGAGGGTTGCTATCAAGTATTGAGGTAGGATCTGATAAAGACTTGAGGTCGCGCACTCGTCCTTTCCACCAACTACAAAATCTCCGGTAAATTGTCGGCTGGAGTCGAGATGACCGGTTAAATGAAAACAGGCTAAGCCTGAACAAGGCCAGGGGGCGTCTCGGCCACCCAAGTTAGCCCCTACATTCCTTGCTCGGGGGTACCGGAGCCGATGATGCGGGGTGATCAGTTGAAAGAATTCTGCTGAACCGCCTCAGACCATCCACACAGACCGATCTGGGATAGCTACTGCATATCTTTGAATCCAAGAAGGGGTAAGCGCTTCGGTTCACGCCCCAAAACTGCAGTATCCGCATTTGCGAGCCAGTCACAAGCCAGTCGGGGAAACGCGACCCGAAAGCGCGTGCCACCGCGAAAGCCCTTCATTTGGCGTCGTTCCTAGAGTTAAACTTTGGTTAACCCCGGATTTTCAATCTATCAACATGCCGGCCATCATGCGACCCAAATCGTTTAAATACCCACATATACCGCTGATCCTTGAGCTCCATGAAGCTATCCAATTCATCGCGCCAGTTACGATTACATTTTTTGATTCAAGTTCGCAACAAGACTTGTGTCCTCCGGCATAAAACCCTGCGATGACGGCCATGGACCCCTCTAAGCCATCCCTCGAGCATGTCGAGATTGGCAAGGATGGTGTGGATTCCAAAGAAATGGCCCTGCAAGAAACCAGCGAGGCGATTCAACTGGCTGAAGCCGTGGAGTCTATGAAGTGTAGCCCATGGACTCCCAATATGTTTCGCCTGTACGGCTGCTTAACGGTCGCATATCTTTGCGGTTGTCTCAATGGATATGATGGGTCGCTGATGGGAGGAGTGAATGCCATGACTTCATATCAACAGTATTTCCATATGTGAGTGCCTCTCTTGCGATGTCGAAACTTTCATTCTGACTCTACTTTGACAGGAAAACCGCGTCTTCGGGAACTGGCCTGGTCTTTGCAATCTACAACATCGGATCCATACCTGCTGTCCTTCTCTCCGGTCCCGCAAATGATATCCTGGGACGTCGGATGGGCATGTTTATTGGAGCTGCGATTATCATTGTTGGAACTTGCGTCCAGGCACCAGCTGTCAATCACGGGATGTTCCTTGCTGGTCGATTCATTCTTGGGTTTGGAGTCAGCTTTTGCTGCGTGAGCGCGCCATGCTATGTCTCTGAGATGGCTCACCCAGTCTGGCGTGGTACGCTGACGGGTCTCTATAACTGCACCTGGTATATCGGATCGATCGTCGCTAGTTGGGTCGTATACGGATGCCAGAGTATCGCCTCCGCAAATGGCTTTCGCATCCCAATTTGGTGCCAGTTGGTTTCGTCCGTCATCGTGGCCTGCACCACGTGGTTCCTACCAGAGTCTCCGCGTTGGCTTATGGCACAAGACCGCGTTGACGAGGCAATTCAGGTTCTTGCGACCTACCACGGCGAAGGTAGTGCTAGCCATCCCATTGTGACTCTCCAAGTCAAGGAGATGCAACATCAGATTGCTGTCACGGTGGATGATTCCAGTAAGAAGTGGTGGGAGTACCGTGAGCTCTTCAACACTCACTCGGCTCGCCGTCGCTTCATCTGTGTGGCCGGCATGGCTTGCTTTGGCCAATTGTCGGGAAACAGTCTCACTGGGTACTATCTTCCGGTAATGGTTGAGAATGCGGGTATCGGTTCCGTCAAAACGCAGTTGATGCTCAATGGAATTTATCCTGTCATTTGCTTCTTCGCCGCTATCTCTGGTGCTGGTCTCACAGATCGTATCGGCCGACGACCGCTGATGCTCTACTCGCTTCTTTTCTGTTCCGCCGCCTTTGCCGTGATTCTCGGAACTTCGAAGATGTCCGTTGACAACCCGGACAACTCTAGTGCAGCGAATACTTCTGTTGCATTCATTTACCTCTTCGGAATCGTTTTTTCCTTTGGTTGGACACCGCTGCAGGCCATGTACATTGCCGAGACGCTGTCGACCAACACACGAGCAAAGGGCACGGCAGTTGGAAATTTGCTATCCAATATCAGCAGCGCCATTATCTCCTACAGCTCGGGACCAGCCTTCGCGAAGCTCAAGTATTATTTCTATGCTGTATTCATCGCGTGGGATCTTATCGAAATGGTTGTAATCTACTTCTGGTTCCCGGAGACCAAAGAGCGCACCCTGGAGGAGCTCGAAGAAGTTTTCTCCGCGCCAAATCCAGTGAAGAAGAGTCTAGAAAAACGTGATATCACCACCGTTTTGCGAACTTTGGAAGTCGCCGATGACAATCATACACGGAATGGCGTCTGAAAGTATTCGCGCATGTTATTTTCGATCAAGCGGACTGGAAGTGAAGCGACCGGTGAACTCGAATGGACAGGGGGTTAGCTAGCAGCACATTCACCGTCTTTTAGCAATCGGAATGATGCATCATGAATTTATTGGAACTATAGTAATATAAATACCGCAAACCGCTTTTTCTTACATATTTGAGGTTTAATTCTTGTTCCTGGGCCTGGAACTCAAAATTAAGAAAATCACCCGATGCTGCGTATCCCCAACGCCTTTTCGTCGGCTAAACTAAGCCACGAATGCGGGGGCCCAGGCCAACTTCCGATCTCTCGAATTTGCTGCTCTGTCTTTCTCCCTGACAAACTCCATGATCGACGATATAATGTCCCCAGATAGAGAAACGGAGAGTCATAAGCGAAAACGAACGTGTCTGGCGGTATGTCGTGTGCCTCCTCCCTCATTTTACATGGGCATGGCGTTAACAGCTAGGTCTCAGTGCGACCCCTGTCGCTATCGGAAAGTGAGGTCAATATGCATGGTCCCACTCTTTTGAGATCAAATGGGCGCTAACATATGATTTCTAGATGTGATGGACGTCGGCCTTCTTGTACAACCTGCACCCAGGGGGGAACGGACTGTGTGTATGGAGCCGAGGCTATCAAGTACGTTGAATTATTTCACCACAAGCCCGTATCTTTGGAACGAATTCTGATATGCAAAATAGCAAGAGCAAAAGTGACATGATTCTGGACGTCGCTATTCGGTCGGAAGGTCTCCTGCTGCAGTTATCCGCACAGCTCGTTCGTCGTACCCTACCGGAGGCCTACGTGACTTGACCAACATTTTTTCTAGGCCCAAGCATCCCACCGAAGTCCAGCTAATATCTCTTCTGTGGCATCTCCTGGAAACGCAATCTCACCCAGCACCCTTAGTAATCTGGGTCGCGGAGAGGGGCCCTCTGATCATATTTCAAACGCCATTTTGTCCCCATTCCACGCCTCAACGACGGAATCTATCTTATCGTGGCCGCATTTTGGTGAATTCCGAAGTCTGATCAAGGAGAGTAAATTTTCAGTTTTCCAACTTGAGAATGCACGCAGAACACTGTCTCACAGGCCGTCCCCCCTCAACCATACATGGCGAAGCGCGACATAGGGAAAACGTTTCGAGACTTCGAGCGAGGAATCAACTGTTGGTATCCCACTATGGCGAGATCTACCACGAAAAGCCTGAAGGAACATTTATTGTCAGGCGCGGTAGAATACAATACGCGTTCATGCCTAGCTTTACTAGTCATGGCATTAGGATGTTCCTCCGAGCTTGTGAGATTATTCACGACCAGGGAAACTCCAGAGCCACATTTAGCTGAGGTGGAAGCTGAAAAGCGACTCCTGGGTTCTATGTACTTCGAATGCGCATTTGACAAAATTCACTTGGCACAAGCGGAATTCACGGCGGATGCAGTCCAGTGCCTGTTTTTCACTGGGTACGTCATTTTTCGAGAAAAATCTTCACTACACCAGGGTCTAACAACAATATTCAGCTTATATTTCTCCTTTCTACAAAGGCCGCTCCAGGCTTGGTCGTTCATAAGCGCAGCGGCAATCAAGTGTAGGCTGCTTTTATCCTATACCCCCTCCGACCAACCCCCAGAGCGATTAGAGTCCCTTCACAGGATATTCTGGTCTTGTTATATACTCGAGAGGTAGGCACTATCGCTTCTCTTATAAAATAACTGAGCTAATTTCGTTTCCCAGTGACTTTCTGGCTGAGCTATCCGCTCTTCCACAAACAGGAATTGCGGAGATCGAATCCCTTATTCCTCTACCAGGCGAATACTCCACCCAGGAGTCACAGAGCGACCAGGAAAAATCGTCTCTGTACTTTCTCGCTTGCATCTCAATGCGTCGATTGCTCAATCGTGTACATGATCTTCTATATGCCCGTAATGACGGAGTGGGCTTTGACAATAATCAATTCCCCTCCGTGGTTTCGGAGCTCGGTCATCAATTAGAAGAGTGGAAGGATCTTCTACCATTTCACTTTCAGTTTTCAGTTGATCTCGACCCTACAAAATCTCCGGAAGGTGCCTTCCTTCGTCAGCGGTATTTGACTTGCAAGAGTGTCATTTATCGGCCTTATCTTACATGGGCGCTCTCAAATGGGGAAGAGGTAGCCGAATGCCCCCCGATTGTATTCGAGGGATCGCGTCTTTGTTTAGAGGCGTGCTGGATGCATGCCCAAAACCTTCGCAACATTCATCATACAATCATGGTGGATACTTGGATTTGTTCGCTCTCGTAAGGACTGCAACCTCTTCTTTTATCTTTTTTCACATTATTGACATTTTCCAGCATGGCGTCCGTTGTTCTGATAACACTCGCGGCATCTCGCGTCCACTCCCTCAGGCAACTAATTTCACACCAAGTTATTGAAATTGGTCCGCATATCAATGACCTGATTACGCGATGGATGTACATCCCAGGAGATGAGGTCTCGCCAAGTGTCCTGGAAAGCACAAAGCTCATTGCGAACGTGTCGGCTTTACTGAAACTCAGCCGGAATCAAGATTGATCAACTAAGTTCAAATACTTGGCTCTAAAGATTGAGGCACATGACAAAAGAACTAGCACGCAAGTGCCAAGTGAGGCATTTCAAGCTTCGCAGTCCGTGCAGGAAGCCCTCGCATGAATTTCACAAGCAGCCCTTGGGGTATCATATTAGGTTGATTCCCTAGACTCGCTTTGAAAATGAAACCCGAATACAATAATTCCACATTAGACTTGGGGTTTTCCATATTAGAGAACGCCGCCAACGGCCACGCCTCCAGAGCTGATACCGATGGGCTCGGCAGGAGTTGAGACTCGTTTCTGAAATTCGACTTCGGAGGTATCGAGATCTAGGTCATCGTTTGGCATGGGCGCTGCGACTGCCATGGCCACGAACATCGTGGTCAGAAGAGCGATAAGAGTGGATCGCATTTTGGGAATGTCTAGACCTTTTAGCATCGATCAAATACAGGTATTCCCGACTCTTGGATGATCAACATACTGTCGCTTAGCTTTGAAATCGATGGAGGACCAAGATGAAGACTAAATTGACGGGAAAATAGGTTTCTTAAATTTCAATTTATCAAATAGCAACGGTGTATTGAAAGTTAATCCGGGCCTTAGAAAGCGGGCTGACCCTCGAGCACAATTTCTGATCCAATCCATCTTGATGACCAAAATGGACCATCCCACTTCGCCTTCCCCAATTGATCGGCCGGCCAAGAGACAGTGCCGAGTATCCCAAGCTCCAGAGGATGAACCTAACTTGGAAAACCATCCACAGCAAGCCTCAAACGGCACAACCATCGAACCCAAGGTCGGTCATACCCCCCTCGGCAGGAAAAAACACAAACCCACTAATACTGAATAGATTCCAGTGAGAACACGCCGTACCCTTACGGCGGAGTTCATGAAAGTAGTAAACCTCAATGACTCCCTCGCTACACCAGTCCTCAAATTGCTCGACTTGTACTTTTGCCTATGGGAATGCTACGTCGTCAAATCGGCGCAGAAAATACGACTCGAAGAGGAGTAGCGATAGATTCAAGCGTCAAATGAGTGGCTAGCAAGCGATAGCGATATCCTTCTACGGCTGTGCAATGAACAAGCATCAGTATTGTGGGACCGCAAACGAGCGGTTCAGGCTCTTTGTAATGGTGTTGTTTCAGCCTTGGAAGCGAGCGATCTTCAAGCCTACTCTGTCGATGAGCCTGAGCCTTGATAAAGTCTCATTGTGGTAGAGCGTTTATGGGCAGGAAGAATGACATTTGGATTTTCCGCCATCTATTTGCGCTATCCCCTAAGGATTAGCGCTAATTTTAGATAAGGCCTATACTGTTGGTGAACTTTCGTTGGGTTTGGTGACGGGTGCCAACGGTGCACGGCTGTTGATACATCCAACGCATTCGATAACTTAGCATCTGGCTATGAATCCCCCCTAGTTTGTGCTGATTTTGCGTAATAAGAGGGGAATAAAATCACTGCTCAGCCTCCAGCTTTCCATCCCTCCCAACCCACGTTAAATCGCTGCTTTATACACTTCTGTATTTTTTCTGAAGCCTTTAGACAACGAGCTTTCGACGAAGATGAATGTCTCGGGCAAAAATGGTCTGTACCCGTTGTCCCAATGGTTATTTTGTGCTAACATTACTAGACTACGATTTGGATCTCGACCTTCGCGCTATCTGGCATGAATCCTCTGGCATACCGACACCGCCTCCCTGTCTCGCCACTGACCCCGATGATCCGCCGCAGGTCCTATTTAACAAAGTCGATCCTGCAGGATATGAAAAGGGTCTTCCTTGATCGAATGCCTTTTCTACCCCGATCTCGACAGTCTGTCCGGTTTCAAGTGGACAGGTCCAGATCCTCTGTCCATCTCTACTCAGGCTAGCGACATTTTCCTCTACATGTCAGCGCTCCTTTTCCCTAAAGAGGTGCACTGGATAGAATTTCGATTTGCGCGATTTGATCGGAGATCTGGTTAGACTGTAGCAGAGGATCTATTCTTCCTGCCGCGGGTTGAATGGCCCTGGGGAATCTCTGTCGGGTACGCAGACAGTTACTAGACACAATCACCTGGCATGCTGCTGGTGCAACAGGCATTAGCTTTCGATTGTCCCTTTGGCCTCGTATGGAATCTCTACCATATTCGAGTCAGTCGACACTTTCTCCGCTAGCTGCGCTGCCCCCGACGCTATCCCTGGATCCGAGATTTGTTGTGCATAATATATCGTGTAATTACAAATGAGATTGGTCCGGTATATGCAGAATTGTTCGCCAACACTTTCGAGTGAACATACAATATTCGAACCTGAGGCTATTCTATGCCCTTCTTACTATGAATACTCAGTCATAAAGATAGAACCTGCTTCATATGCGGTAATTCCACTTAATCTGTAACGTCCATTGCAATATCTCTTTGTTTAAAAATGGGACGGGACAGCACTGAATAAACAATCCCTCACCCTCCTCTTGCAATGTCCGGGATCCCTGCCAGATTGAGTCTGAAATTGTTATTCCAGTCATCAAGTACGCCAGTCAGTCGTTTCCGAGATGATTCCAATGCCTGGTCGAAATTGCGCAGCCGAGATAGCTGCTTAGCGTGGCGAAGTCGAAGGCCGTCTCTCTCGTTGCAGGTTCATGCTAGCCTCCTTCAAATTTTGATCGAGCTTCTCTCCATCAATATCCTTGGACACGCACGACTCCCATAGGCGTCGGTAGAGTCCAACAAGTCGAGCTGCTGGATATTCGAACGCCGGATCGTCTCGTTCGAGGTCTGCTAGCACCTTCAAGATGGGTTGAAAAGGCTCGGTCGCCAAGGTATGTCTTGTTCCTACTTCCTGCTGCGAAGACGAGAGCTGCGGTAGTCAGCAAAAGCATTTGAAGCCGAATCGTGTCACTTACCAATGGAGGGGCATTATAGGAAGTTTCCTGTGAATTGTCTTTATCACTAAGGATTGGCAACTCACTGGGCTGCTAGGCTCCTTCCATTTCCCGGCCTGGCGAGGTGTTTGTGGCATCCATTCTATTCACAGGCGAAAGTCAAGGGTCTGAGAAATACTGTTGGACTATGTCGGTCATCCCATTGATGCCTTTGTCTAGTCATCTCATTGATGCCTCCATTTGTTTGCAGACTGAGCCTTTCTTTGTTTGGCAGGGTATAAATCCCCTGCTCTAGATAGATTGAATAGATCATGATTCCTCTTCTCTCTCTCTCTCCCCATAGTTAGCAGCCCCAACAGGTTATGACGCCCTCTTTCTTCCTCTGAACCCTGAATCATCACTTCATTCATCACTTCCATCAAGAATAGCATCTCCAAAGGCTATATCTTGGTTGGAAGCATCACTTTCCATCAAGATCATCAGTTATCTTGACGTTTTTCATCAAGGTGAGCACTACAAAGTGCCGTACCTTCATCTCTTCCACCAAGAATAGCACTGCAAGTGGTATATCTTGTTCTGGAAGCTTCACAGGCCACTAGGAATAGCACCGGAAGTGCTATTTTCTTTGTGGAACCTTCATGTTGGAAGTGCCTTTCATGCACTATCCCGACAACTGAGCACTGATTGCTCCATTTTCAGATCATTTTTTCAAAGATCTATCACGTTGATTGAGATTATCATCCATCTTCAATATGGCTGACGCTCAACAACAACAACAACCACCACCGGTCGATGACGATAACAACGACTGGCACAATGACAGCGAAGCACCCGAGGTAACCAACCAATCTGTTGGCCTGCCTGACATCGGAAGCTTCAACCTCTACAAAATCACCCCGCCTCTCAAAGAAAGAGAGGATCTTGATATGTGGATTGACAAGATCGAGAAGATCTTGGAAGGACACAATCTACACAACTTGATCAATAGTTCGATCCCCTGGCCGATGAAAAGTAACCCCGACGGCCGGAAATGGAAGACTCTATCAAAGCAAGTAAGAAGCTGGTTGTCTAGTAGTATAGATAACGACTTGATGCAGGAAATCAACCGCCGCGGCAATACCATCGAATTCGCCGACGAGCTGTTTGACGAACTGAAGAAGCATATGAAAGGAGAAGGACATAGTGCTTTGAAGAAGGCAACGCTGAAATTCAGATTCATTACCCGCCACCAATTTAACAGCAGCGAGGAATTCATCAATGGATTGAAAACAGCATATAAAAACCTCACCGATCTTCATGCACACATTCCACCATACTTCGCTCTACAAATCATGCTTCAGGAATTGATGAATGTACCGGAATTGAAAAGCTACATTGTCGTCAAGGACAATGAGCTAAATGCCATCAACGAACCGGTCAAGAACATCACCACCATCGACTTCTACCAATATAGCATTGCTATCTTGGACCACATCAAATCGGAAAACGACAACTCACCGGGATTGATATCATCGGCAGTCTCAAACGGCACTCAACAACGTCGACAAGACAATTCCAACGGTTCGAATTCATACATAAATGCCAATTCCAATTTTTCATACTCCCGCCCAACCAATACGCCACCGAAAGGCGTTTCAGCACTTGATCATGTCAACAAATGGAAAGGCCATAAACCAGAAAGGAGTGACAACGGCAATTGCACTTACTGTGGCGGGAAAGGCCATGGAACAACCAGATGCTTCTATCTAGTCCCAGAGATACGAAGGGAGAACTGGACGCCGAGAGCTGGAATCTGGACCTACAAATGGAGAGACAACAATATGTCTCCCTCCTCCACTTCGCCATCCTCTAACGGCAAAACGGAATTCAAGCAAGACAAATCTCAACCAATCCAGGGCCCAGTGACAGATAGGACACGACAAGCCAACCTCTCTGCGCCAGAAAGCAGCACCGGTTTCATCATGACAAGTCTGGAAATCGACTTGTTGCAGGATTTCAACCCTTCCTACATTATGGCAGATGAAAAGAGCCAGGAAGAAGCCCCAATCGACGGAGAAAACCAAGAAACAACCGTTAACACCCAGCTTGAAACGTCAAATGCAATGTCTAAAGAGCGGGAAACAGATGAAAACACCCAGATTGAAGCGTCAAATACTTCAATGGTAGCTATCCAACTATCTGCCACCGCCCCAGGATATCCATGGATTCTGGATACTGGCGCATCTGAACACATTTGCAGCGATCAATCTGCATTTAGCACCCTGGAAGACTATCCCGAAGGTCAGGAATACGAATGGATGACCTCTGGAAATGAGAAAGTCAAGGGTGAATCCCATGGAATTGTCAAATTGAACTTGCACCTTGGAAATGACGACGCCCAAACTGTACAAGCATGCTTCACATTAAGCATCCATTGTGTCTACAAAAGCGGCGGTCAATACAACCTTTTCTCACTTGGAACGGCCGAAAAAGAACTCGGCATTTGGTGGCACAGCAAAACAAAATCCTTACACGACAAGGATGACATTGTTATTGGCTTCACTAAG